TCTACGAAGCAGAATCGTCCGTCCAGCGTGGGACGATGAGAAAGCAGCAGGCCGGAGCTGACGCAGGACACGACAGCCGCACTGCACTGTTCCTGCTGCCCGGTCGCCCCCTCCACTGGTCTTTCTCTCTCCCACATACATTCCAGACACTCTCCTCCACAGATGAGATTCTGTCCTCTCCCCCTCGTGATGAGTGTGGCCCCAGCGCTGATGCCACCGGGTCGCGGACAGACCGCCTCTGTGCTGGCACATCTGCAGATCGCACATCGAGTCCCAGCCCGTCCTGTGGCCTTCTGGGGGCCGTGGGGGCCACACCGTACAATCTTTGACCTTTCCCCCCCTCTAGGGTGGAATAGTTCCCACAGATCACATGTGATATTACAGACCATCCCGTTAGAAAGTGTGTGCGCGTGTATGTGTGTGGATTAGGTTTACATTACGTTGGGGACCAATGGGCGCTTCTTGTCCGCTTTCACTCAAAGCAATCTCTAAATTGTTAAAATCGCTGGATGTCAGGCAGTCGGAAGAGGTATGTCGCTCTTTCACGTTGCGTTTAATGAGACATGGTTGCCCGTGCGACGCTTGGGACGAGTCAGCATGAGGTGTGGGCTCACAGCCAATCATATTTCATCCTGGTTATGATGCCTCGGGTTCAGGTCTGAGCGAATGTCGCTGCTGCTGTTGCCAGGTGCCTAAAGCAGTCTGAGTTTTTGGTCTTTTCTTGGCTCATGGATCCAGAACGTTACAGAGCTGAATGGAAACGAGTTCCAGAGAACCTACCGGCACTTTCTGTGAGGTATACCTAGGTGAACAGAGCAGAGCATCGTGGGACAGGGACAGCACAGAAAAATGAGAGAAGGAGAGCAGAGGAGTCCAGCCCTGCATCGGGGAAGGGGGGGGGGGCTACCGGGCTACAAGGTCCTGCATTCTTTCAGGTCCGATTCCTGCCCCGGGGCAGCTTGGCCCCTGCACATAATTGCCCCGCTACAGATAGTTAACAGCCGCCCCTGTTTATTCTGCTCTGATTTCCAGCTCCTCTGGGCCATCATTCATCAGTGCCCACCACCCCTCGGGAACAGACCGGGGGGGGGCCCACTAACATCACCCTGCCCTCCCTCCCAGCCCCACACCAAATGACCACGGGGCATTTCTGATGGCCCACATTATGGAGGGCAGGCGCACTGCTGTGTGGAGGGCTGCCGGTGATTATAATATCCATATAATAATTTCAAACAAATTATCATAATTATCAATCAATCATCACATTTAAACAGTGTTGCCCTGGGGCCCAAATTGCTTTTCTGTGACCTGTAATGCTTTCTGTCCCATAATAACCTTCATAAATTTCAGGCTCCGTGTGTCTCCCGCTAAACCAACGCCGCCATCCCGGCCGGCACCCTGTGGACCCGGCCGGGACCCCCTGCTTGGCGTTGTCTGCCACGAAGGCCCACCCCCCCGCTCCCGGGAGGGCTCTAGCACCAGCGGCGTGTCGTTAATAACTTGGCACGGCGGGGCGGCTTCGACAAACCGGCGGCGACTCCACGCCGATGATCTCGTCATTTATCTCTTTCTCATTACCGCCGCGCAGCTGAGTCACAGCCTTAAGAGGAAAGAGAAGGATGACGGCTGGAGACTGACAGGATATTAAGGCACATCTCGATATGAAACCAAAATGTAAGTATGCACAAAATATGGGACAAACGGATGTAATTAAAGCCCTGTGATTGGACAGTGTAATTGTCACGGCAGCGGAGGGGCAGCATCACCTAGGCAAGAGGAGTCTCGATAACCTGAGTGAGAGAGAGATTTATCCAATTGGGAGTCTCTGGATGACGGCTCCCGCTGACTGCGGATTACGCCAAGCCGGGAGGCGGGGGGGGGGCTCTCAGGCAGGGAAGATAAGGAGGGACAGAGCTGGCACACACATGCAGCGTCGCACCCACCACGCCGCTGATCCGATCTCCGGAAGCACCGATAGGCCACGTTATCGCCGCCTCCTGCTGGCGGTGTGAGAATAACGGCACGCTCCCGCAATAGCCCCGAAGAATAAATACACGGATCACCCGCCTCACGGACATCTATCCTCCCGGATTTCGATAAGAAGGCTTTTGAGCTGCGACAATGCCCCCCCCCATTCTTTGACGGCAGCCTTTAACGAGGCTCTTTATCCCCCCCAAAGACTTTCTGGAAGGTCTTTTTATTAGGAGTTCCTCAAATGGCTCTCTGGGGAGAGGTTGGAGAATGATAGATAGGTAGATAGATAGAGAGACGGATAGATAATGCTATAGATTATCGCCCACAGATGATTTTCCTGCTTGGGGCCATTCCCTGTGAGTAAACAGAGGACACTCCGGTGGGGGCTCTCATGCCCTCCTCATCCCCCCCCTCCCCCTGACCCCCCGCCCATTTCCCTCAAATTCACCTTGGTGAGGAGAGTGATGAGGATGTTGTCATGTCAGAGGCTGGAAATGAGAAGCGCTCTCTGGGCAGACCCTACAGGGCATCCCCAGAGCCGGCACGGCCACCTGAGCGCCACTGAGGTTGAAGGTCAAAGGTCAATGGGGGACGACCCTTTGGGGCGCCCACTGTGAGGATAGTGATAGGAATCCTGACTGCTACATTTTAGGTTCACAGGCCAGTGGGAGGAAGGGTATCACCAGGAAAGGTATGGACAGGCCTTCCTTTCATTGCGGGGGGGTATCAGATGAATACACGGGCTACGGCACTGCTTCCCAGTCCAGTCCTCAGGGACCCACAGACAGCGGAACGTTTTTGTGGAGCAAGAAATGTGCAGAGTCTGGCAGACAGCTGGGAGGGAGCAAAAATGTGGACTGTCTGTGGGCCCCGAGGACCGGGTGGGGGAATACTGGGCTACAGGACTAGTTGATTCAATTTGTGACCATCGTACTTCGTGAATAATTTTATGAATTTCCAGTGTTATTGAAAAGAACTTCAGAAATTAGCTACAATCGTAATAATACTGAGTCATAGAGGGACTTTGCTTAGACTTATGAAGATAGGATTCTATAAGACAATGGGAAGCTTCACTATGAGCTTTTGTTTTCATGCAGTCAGTAAGGATGCCATCCAAATCTCAGCTCGCTCTAATTGTTCTGTATAGTTAGGATTCCATTCCAGGGAGTATCTGAACAGCCTGGTTATCGTGACCCAGGCCACACAAAGCAGGCAGGCTCATAGACATGAGTGTATTCATTATAAAGCAGTAAGGTGCAGTATAAATCATACAGTGTGAGACACCATGTCTTCCCTGGGCTTCAAGAACGAACTATCACTGTGAGACTGGGGGAGGCCAGACCCTTAGTTACTCTGTTACCTCCTAAATGTCATAGCCCACCTTTAAATGTGACGTTTTGAGTCATCAGTTCATAAGTAAATAAACTGTAACCCTACAGGGATAAATATCTCATGTGTTCTCAGTGGTCAGAGGTGCCTGCCTACGAATGATGTATTCCTGTAATAAATGGTAATAGCATTCATGTGCGTAACAATTACCAAACGGACATTTAATATATCATGTGACCCCCGTGCCACCCTGTCTATAAGATCCGAGACTCGCTTTTTAATGCATCGTGTGACTCCTGTGCCACCCTGTCTATAAGAGCCGAGACTCGTTTTTTAATGCATCATGTGACTCCTGTGCCACCCTGTCTATAAGAGCCGAGACTCGCTTTTTAATGCATCATGTGACTCCTGTACCACCCTGTCTATAAGAGTCGAGACTCGCTTTTTAATGCATCGTGTGACTCCTGTGCCACCGTGTCTATAAGAGCCGAGACTCGCTTTTTAATGCACCATGTAACTCCTGTACCACCCTGTCTATAAGAGCCGAGACTNTGTGACTCCTGTGCCACCGTGTCTATAAGAGCCGAGACTCGCTTTTTAATGCACCATGTAACTCCTGTACCACCCTGTCTATAAGAGCCGAGACTCGCTTTTTAATGCATCATGTGACTCCTGTGCCACCGTGTCTATAAGAGCCGAGACTCGCTTTTTAATNCATCATGTGACTCCTGTGCCACCGTGTCTATAAGAGCCGAGACTCGCTTTTTAATGCATCGTGTGACTCCTGTACTACCCTGAGTCTAAGTGTCGAGACTCGTTTTTTTTCTCCCTCCGAGTCACACCCCATCGCTGGCACACTTGCAGAATTGTGGCAAGAAGCAAGCAAACTTCCTGTAATGGCTAACCACAGCTTTGTGAATTCATACGGTTCATTTTGGCAACGGCGTCACAGACGGTCCGGATGATTCCGCTGACTGCCAATGCTGATCCTCCAAACAGGTGCCACGCTATTGTTCCTTCACGGACCATTGAGTTTATACCCAAACTCTTTCACTTTCTGCCTTGACCTCTTAACATCGTCCATAAAAAACAAACTACCCACCCTTCAATAAATCTATCACCTCATAAACTGACCACTCTGACTTCAATGAGACACGTCCGACCTCGAGGTCTTTTCAGAATCCCGCTCTATCAACAATGACTATCCAAACAAGAGGTTCTCCACGGGTTGTCCTGCTGTTGTCATGACCTCAGCCACAGATACTCCTGTTTCAGTACCATAGATACGGCATGACGAACAAGCTGGTGACATTAGTGTTGGGTTCAATCTGGATGTGGGCCTGAACCTCAGTGCAATATGACCTCCTTCACAAAATCAGTGGAAGATCACTATGGTTGTGGATACAGATGAGGTGCTGAGATCATTCTCCTACAGAAATCTGTAAAACGATACTTTTTATTGTGTGTGTGTGGAACTGGCTTAGTGATCAAACATATTGAGAGAGCTCCGGAAGTTTCCGTGATAAGGAGTATGCTTAGCTTTCCTCGTTAGCGGTGGCATGTACTGAGAGGGGTTGTGCTGGCTTGTTGGTACAGGGGCTGCTGATGTACAGCAGCGACTCAAACAGCAAGGGAGTGGGAAGCAGAGAATAGGCGAGCAAATGAAACAATCAAAACGAAAGCAAAACAAAACTAACCTTTTTGATGCAGCTGTCCTGGGATGTGATGTCGTGGTCGTTGAGCATTTGCTGTAGAGAAGAGAATATCATTGGTTATAACATACACAGATGCATAAACGTTTAAAATGAAAGAAGCAGGCATGCAAGAACTCACGCAAACATAGTTTTATCAATGCAATTCAGTGCCTGAAATAAATCAGGAATGACATGTAAGCTGAGCGCTGATCTAAACCCCAATAAGATTTTCTGCTTTGACCCAAAGCTCTGTGCCATTGGGAAGGCACGAGGGGTTAAATCTCCCTCTTTGTGTAACCAACGGGCCACCCTCGTAAATCTGACCACTAATTCACAGTTCAGTCGGGCAGGAAATTTCGGCTAAGACACTTGACTCAAACCCCGGGAGGAGATGTGGAATTACGCCTTTAGCAATATTTATCCTGCACGGGGTAAAGAATGTGTCCACTGTCTGTCCGGCCTGGTGAGAGGCTTGTTGATGAAGTGGAAGTCTGTTCTGGGGAGGGGTGATAATGGGGAATCATACTGGGGCTTCTCACTGGGGCCCATTCATCGGGATTTGGGGTAGGGAGGGGTGACAGATGGAGAGATGGCTGTATTCTGAATTTATCTGGGATTATCAAACCATATTACAGCACCTACTCCCACCTCGGACCACCCCTCCTCCCGTCTCGCGAAACAGAGTCCGTGTTGTTGGCTGTCCAGCGGGCGGCGTCTCACGCACAGCCCCTGACACGCCGTGTTTTCATTCGTCCTGAAGGGCTCTTCAGTACGTTAAAATGATGTATCTTCAGATCACGAGCCGCTTACAGGCGCAGCTTGTGGAAACGTCAGCCGTCGCTTTGTCGGAGGTTAACGGCGGGACAAACTGCAATGCGCAGTAGCTTGTAGTAGTAGTAGTTTCTCATCTTTGCAGCTACCTCAGGCTTTTCTAGAATGTTCCCCCATGTTTGCCTCTGGTGTCTGTGCATAGTTTGCCCATGCAGCAAAGATCGATCTTTCGATTCTTGTCTTTACTGACAATGCAATCTGATGATATTTCATTATTTATTCACTGGCTTACACTGAGTTCCGTGGATACTTGGTAGAACATGGGAAATCACCTCCATGCCTGCAGGTCGCTAAACCAGTAACCTGCATCCTCCCCCGGTTGCATTATAACGCTATGATTAATATTTCACTACTGCTCTTTATCTTCATGTATTTGCCTGTACTGTGGTTCATTTGTCTCTTTGTATTTCGGTCAGTTTTCCATCTCACATATTTATTACTTATTTCTATGCTCCTTATTATATTGCACTGTTTTCTCCTGCACTCTGTTACATTTCCCTGCAACTGTAGTATAAGAATCTTGCAGTGTTCCTTGGAACACAGGTGACAAAACTTGAAACTTGAAATATTATTGATATGATACAGGTAGCGTGCCGATGTCACACGTGATGGAGGCTTGTGAACGCTGGCCACACAGACTCAGCACAGCTAAGCCTTTGGCTTCGTATCTCAGTGACTCACTGTAAGGGGAACCGCGGAGCGGAACCGCACTAAGAGAACCGCAGGGCGCGACCGCCGCAGCAGGACCGCCGAGCGCAGCCTGAACACTGTCGCCGTCTCCTTCTCTTTGCTGTTTGTTATTTTATGCAGTTTACCTCCAGCGGGGGCAGCCCGCAGCTGAAAGCCGCCCCCCTCCACACACTTTCACGCCACACGCTGGATGCTTGTGGGTAGGGGGGTTATTCACATGAGCGCCTTAAGCTGGGATCCTCCGGGAACCAGCCAATCCAGGCGGCTGAAGCCAAACAGGGGGACACCGCTCCTTCACTGCCTTCGCCTGGGCATTTTTGGGGTCCCCTCCAACGTCCAAGTTGTCGACAGCGGGGGACTTCCCATTATGATTTCCCAAAAACCAGTGGCCCCATGAAGACAGAATTTCCAGGGTTACATTTATGGATATAATATGATATGATAATTTAGATTATAGCAACACATTTGTTATTAGAACTTTCAGCAAGAGTTTGTTAGACATTAGACAAATTTGCCCACCCCCCCCACCCCCAGCTTTAATGGATTATTCCAACTTTCAGACTTCATGCAATGATGCAATGACAAACTCCAAACCCTTAAGTCCGCCCCTGGTTGTCGAAAGAAATAAAAAAAAAAAACACAACCACTGGATCCCCATGGCTCTTAGTGAGCAGATACAGTGAACACTGCCCTGGATGAAACATGGCCCTGATAGAGCAGCAGCGGCACTGCACCAAAGTGGAAATAGGCGTTCATCAAACTGGACTTCAAGCCATGGTGTCCGTGTGGACAGGACTGTACGCTCTGAGGAACGGAGATCCTGCTTTAATGTTTCTGGCTGGCAGTACAGGGCTCCATGTAACAGGTTTAAAATGATAGGACGATGGAGCTCATATAGATACAATGGCACTTCATTCACGTAGGTCCATCTGGAGCAGGGGCTCCCAAAGTGGGGGGTGCCGGCAGGGGGTGGCGATATGATTTCCAGAGTATGAAAAAAAATCTGTCATAACTGCGACGGGTCGATCACGATAAATCTACTTAATGGAAATGCAGCCCTGGTCAGGGACCAAAGAGGACCTCCCCCCCCCGCCCCAGCCAAACGGGGAGGGGGGTGCATGTTTCTGACACTGTTATTTTGGGGGTTGTGGGCTAAAAACATTAGATCTAGACGAGGTCCACCTTATAACAACAATAAAAACAAATAAATAACAAGGCAAAATGGTTGCTAAAGCAAAAGACGGATAATTCAACATAGTTTGGTGTGGGATTGTTGACTGTCCTGCTTCCTCTGAATCGACCATGTGTGTCTCATCGGACGGCTGTATTACCTAGTGGGTAATATGTAAAGTACGTTGATTTGATCCGGAAAAAGCTTCTGACAAGTGAAAACACGATGAAACGTTAGAATATTAGTGGGGGGAAAAAAACACATGAATCACCCCCAGCCTTGTACATGACTTCATTTCAGAACAGTGCGAAATTTAAAAAGGGGGGTATGTCATCGAATAAAAAGGCTTTTAAAAGGCTGGGCGACTTAGCTGACATCCGTCACACTCCTGCCGTGACCTTTAGACCTTCAGGCGTTTCGCCTGTCGATGCCGCTTATGAAAAAGTGACAAACTACAAATGCGTCGCAGGTACGAGTCATTCGTCGGCGTCTGCCAGAGTATCCACAGACAAAAGCGTCTTTGTACGCCGCATGTCCAATGCTCTGAAAAAGGTGAAATAAACGAATTAAATGACCTGATGAATATTCAGCTGCCTGCTGAGTGTTTGGACGGAAATCACGTAAGCACACACAAAAAAAAACATCTCCAGAAGAGCCTAGTTCCAAGATTCCATGTCCAGGGCATTTTCAACCCCCCCCCCCAACCAGCCCCCGTTTGCATTGCATGCCACCGCAGCAGATTCGGACAAAAGAAAACAAATTTCAGCGATTCCACTGAAGTACGAGTCGTGTTTTTCCAGTTGAGCGGCAGAAGGGATGTACACACACACACACACACACACGAAAATACAGCCCTATAATTTGCAGGAAAGTAGTTTTGTTCTGATCTCTCACAAACATAAGCAGTAATTTGGCTTCAAAAAAATAAATCAAAACAGCATCAATTTTGCAGTGCTTTTGTAGCCTAATTAAGGTCTTCTAATGGCAATTATAAAATAATTATGGCCGATTGGAGGCCGCAGGGCAGATAGAAGGGCCTGGTGCGCCGGGGGCAGGCCAAACCTGCGGGAATTGTCTCGGGGAGACTTTGGTGTTTCTTGCCAAAAACAATTCTCTTCAACTCTGGATAATATGGCAACATGGATGCTTGGCTGATAGATGGTTACGGATGTCAGAAGCCACAAGTTTCTAAAAAAGAAAGACATGAAAACAAACCTCGGGACCCTCGAAGCGTCTGAGTGACATCGCCACTGGCTCGGGGAACCACAGCACGGCAGCCGCAAATTGAAAGTTTTACAACGCAGTTATTGGGAAATCTCCGTTGTTTGGACAATATTTAATGAGGTAAGAGAGGAGAAAAAAATAACAATACGGATCTCTTGATATATAGCCGTCTTTGAATATAAGCACCTGACAAAAAAATAAAGGGGGCATATCCAATCAGTTATGAGGGTTAGGGTGGGACGAGACGGGTGCTGGATACAGTTGTCGTGCTTCCCAGTGAGGCGTTACAGTCTCAAAGAGAGTGAGCATAGCATGTCAAACACGATCACAGAGAACCTGTCTCACGCCGACATTAATCATGTCCATCCTGTTCTACAGCAGCCCCAGTCAAACAGCCCCTCTGAACGAGTCAATCAAAGCTGGGGGGGTAGGGGGCGCCCGCTAGACGGGGGGCCGTACCAGCTCCAAGCCGCTGACGTCATTCCTGATATCGCGTGCGCACGCACTAACACACGCACACATGCAGAAAAAACATAACCGTTATTGTTTTTGCTGTGTAAAAAAAAAAAATCATGATTCTGGAAGGCAAGAGGCCCACAACATGGCCTCCACCCTCTGTTTGGGTCCCTCCCCGAAAGGCGTTTTGCCCCCGCGAGAAGCAGACGAAAGCTATTTCGGGAGTTTCTGGCGAAGATATCGGCGTGGGCCCTGAGAAACAAGCCCTCCTCGGCTATCGCCGCTTAAGACATATTTCCACAATGAGGGCGCTGATAAAATAAAATAAATAAAAGCAAAAAAAAAACCCTGCTGCTCTACAAATGCCAGGAAACTGAGTGGCGATCTGATACAATATATGTATGATGACTTTAATAAGCTGAAACCTTGACGCTTTTCCTTTTTTTTTGTTTTTTGCCAAGGCAAACACGGAGAGAGGACTGATAGTGCACACCCGGCGGCTATCGATAGGAGGGTAATTAAACGTAATCACTCCCAGCTTAGCATTGTTTGAGTCATTATTATATTCTTATCGGCTACTTCGAGCCCCTCGTCAGCGAATGTGAGAACAGCGCGGGGGGGGTAGTGCACTGGCTAGCCAATGGCACGGCTCCCATCGTCTGACCGCAAATGAGGAGATGTT